GTCCGACTTCCGCTGCTTGGTCTTCGTGCGTGTGGTTCACCGTAGCGGTTTGTCAGTTAAAAATATGGCCTTCTTGCCAACTGAAAAGGTCTGATCATACGCTAGCAATCGCCATCTGATTGAGCAAGCCAATCGGGTGATTTATGGTTTGTTGGTGTTTTTTAAGTCGCCCGTGAAAACCCGTGACTCTCCGCAATATCTGTGGAATAGACTTGACTGGTGATGTTCGGGTCCTGCGAGGAAATCTTCTATGCTTGGATAAGCCTGTTTATTATCTGCATGGTAGTCGATAGGCCTTGAGCATAGTTGTCCCCTGGCCATGTCCTTGATGATGGAGTTTTGATTATTTTGTCGGCCACTTCCGTAAGCCTGCGTTGTTCGTTTGCGAACTACGGAGATGTTGTTTAAGAAGACTCAACATTTCACTGTTACGGACGTGGCTGATACCTGCGGCATTAGATAATCACCAGTTCACGGTTTCGCGGATTGGTACACGGGATTAAGGCTTTAGCCCAAGCTTCTCGGGTCGGTTTTGTTCTTTTCCTTCAGCGGCTGCCGTTCACCTGAAAGGACCAGGTGAAAAAAGCATGTGGCACTGATATTTATGTTCTCATTGCGGGGAAGAATGCCTGTCGGGGCGGGGACTCGCGTATTAATTGTGTAAAGTGCTGTGAACTGGATCCTGGATGAAGCGTGAACAACCGTCGTGAGAAGGTTATTCCACGCAGCCACTACCCGAAATAAGATAATGTTGCTCAATAAAATTGTTCCCTCTGACCTCGAAAGTATTCCTAGCATGTTCCCGCCAAGCGTCTGTTGGGTCAACTTGGAAGAACCTGCTGGCCAGACCTGTTCAAACAGGGAACGAACTGCAAGAAGAGGTCAAGCACCGCCGGACGCGTTTCGTAGTTCACGGATTAGAGGCCGGCAGCCATTTTCGTATCGCCTCGCTGGATACGCTCAGTGGGGGTGACGTCTGTCGTGTGTCCTGAATAGGCATCTTAGTTGGCATATTCAGGTAACGGTCTGAAGTAGTCCCAATAAAGTATTTGGGAGTCCATGCGAGTATTACAGGAGAAGGTGCGCAGAATAATTCTTTTGGGCCGACTTCTCATGATACAGTGAGAAAAATAAGTTTGAAGAGGGCCAAGGAACCGAATCCTTTTTGGCGTCTATCCTCATGACGTCTTCTGCTCCTTTCACACCACACATGACAAAAGCATTCGCTAAGCCTCCCCAAAATGACACATGGACGCACTTTTCATCATTCAGAGGAAGGTGCCAGTCCAACGACCTCTGCTTTGCTGCGTCTACATCCATTTGGAGGGCACTAGCATTGAAACTCCGGGATTTCAAGTCGTCCGCAAAAAGTAGACATAGATTTGCATGAACGCCTGGAAGGACGTTGACGTATATCAGAAACATCAGCGGCCCCACAATAGAAACTTGAGGAACTCGAATAGAGACCGGAGCTGGGAAAGATTGAGTAGAGCCCACCTTCGCTCGGAATGATCTGACTTATAGGAACGACTTGATCCAGAGAAGGACTTCCCTTTGAACCCCTTAAGACCCGAGTTTGTGGAGCAGCAGGACGTGTGGAGCTCGGTCAAANNNNTTGAGAAGTCTATAATTATGGCGTCCAATATGAGTCTTTTGTTCCTGGCTTGGGTTAAGCTGTCCATAAACACGAAGTTGGAGAGAAATCCGCCACGAGCCGAAAACATCAAGCTGTTGGTAGTAAGGTTGTCTAGGAGGGCTCGCTTCAGAATGCGTTCCATTACCTTACACGGCACGCTGGTGAGGTTTGTAGGCCTGTAGCTACTAGGCGATAGTCGGTCACCAGTTTTGTAGATTGACGTCACAGTCACTTCCTTCCACGCGGAGTTAAGGCGGCCTTCGTCAGGCGGCTGGCAAAAGAACAGGAAAACGATAATGTAGACGACGTTTCCTTCAGGGTCCTTGAATGTGTTTCGTTGTGCCTCTATGCGCACAATGGGCTGATCTTGTGCAAGAGTTGGCGAACGTCCTACACCGTGAAGACTCAGTCGGTTGGAGGCTGTTCCTAGTTACGCCTTGACAAGAGTGGGTGTACTGAGGACGCTAGAGCTGAATGTAGAACTGCATAGTGTTCTCTGTAAACATTAGATACCACCTTTGGGTCACTCGTGGGTTATCCGTACCTGTCCCTCAAACAAAACGCAGATGGCTTGTTTCCGCAGCGATGTTTCATATATTTGAACAGTGAGTTTTTGTTTTTCCAATCAAGGTCCAGGATGATGGCTTGTTTCCGTGTGTTCCATTGGCGGATTNCCCTGTAGTCGACTTTTGGAAAAGGTTGGTACCCCTTTTCTAGAAGTCACCGAGTTTTTTTGGCAGCCTGCGGATCGTCCGGCTGCGTGTTGTTTTTTTAGGACGAACATCGCGTCGGTCTGGTGAACTTTCTTAACAATGGTCGTATATAGTTCTCCCACTGGAGCTGGTCCCATTGTAACTTGTTCAAGAAAGATGCGCATTCCTGAGAAGTCTGCACGGCAGAAGTCTCGAAACAACGTTTTAGGATCGGGATTTCCGGCCCAGTAGCGGACAAAATCAAAGATCAGCACACAGTGGTCGGTATGTCTCTGTGGAGAGTTAATCGTTACCTGATCAACGAAGTATCTTTCGTTGGTGATGACCAACTCATGGAGGGATGGTGTTGGTCCGCGAGGTATCTGGTGGGTGCAAGGACGTATTGAGTCCCAGCGTTTTGTTTAACAGCGCCGCTGCAAAAAGGCCACCTGATTCGACGAACTGGAGCTTCATCCAGCAGGCCTTTGGAGCGTTAAAGTTACCTAACAGCAGGAGAGGAGTGAAGTGGTAGTTGGAGGAGAGTTGCTCAGGGGTTTGTATGAGGTATTGGTCATCTTCAGTGGGACTCGTGGGACTACGGTGGACCACACCGAGCAGCAGAAAATCGGACCAACGCAGCGGGATTCAGACCCACAGTGCATCGCAAAAGGGTGCGGGAGTGGTGTCAGATGGGACAATCGGGATTGGTAGGGCCAGAGCAACCCCACCAGCCCTCCCTCGTTTTGATTCAGCTCGAAAAATAGGCTAAACGTCTATCGAGATCTCCACGTCAGAGAAACCTGGTGTGAGCTGGGTCTCTGTGAGTACAACTATAGACGGTTGTTCAAGCAACCTGACTGTTTAACATCGCCGAGTTTGTTGAAAATGCTGAGGCAGTTTGTGTACAAGCATTACGACACTGTTTCTGCTGCCTCTGTGGAGTAGGAGCTCTTGGGTCATAATCATCTTCTTCTTGCCCTCGTGGATCCTGGGGATGCTTTTCGCTTGCAGGTTTTTTTGCCCCGTGAGAGCCCGGGTTGATTGGGCCTTTTAGCTTCGGAGAACGAAGTTTTCTCCCTGTTGGCAAAAAGTTCAACCATTGCTGCTTGTAGCTGTTTCAACACCCTGTTTCTGGCGATCAGATTTGCTGTTGCTCAAAGATTTGCGGAAAACTTTCGCCTTCCTGGATTCTTGGGTGTTTTGGCACGGTTTGACCGGAAAAGTGTCTCTGTGAGGCCCTGAGCGCTGGGTG